ACCCTTGTTCCCGAAGTTGAGTAAGACATCACTCATGAAGCTTGCTGTTTGGTTCCAAGCCTTTCAGTCACTGGCATGGTGCCAACTGGCCTGGGGACAAGGCTGATCTATTCAAGGTACAATTTTCCCAAGTCAAACCATCAGTTGGCAACCCTCGTTAGCAAAGAGTGATTGATTACAGTAGTCATTTACATTATTTAACCTCGGGCACACATATTAAAACAAAGTCTAACCATTGCAGTTTAATAAAATCAGTGGCCCGAAAAGTGTGTTAACTTGTGGCTTATTTAAAGTAAACAAATGGTTTTAACAGCAAAGAGTGTTTTGAAAGGAAGGTTGGCAAATTGAAAATGGCTAAGAGCACCGTTTGATAAACCCTGTCTAAATGCTGTTTCAAAAACCAGCCCTCAATCCTTTGGAAGAATAAATCTGAGTTCTGTCGACCACCACAGCACTGGAACCTAAAATTTTGTAAACAAACACAATTAATTTTGTCCAGCTAGATGTCATCAATGTAAAAGTCAAAGATTCCCACACTAACAAGGCGGTGATCTCTGATCTGGCAAATGAGATCATTTTGTTGACCAAGTTATGAGTAACATCAAGATCATGGTGGCTGCTACCTCAGTTTTTCTGGGCAGGACACCGGCATTACCTGGACACCCAGTAATGGTTAATGTCATAGAAAAGCACTTGGATTTGCTCTTGGGTCTTTAAGATGACGATAACGGAATGCTATGTAAACTCCAAGGAACTAGAAGGAAAAAAAAAGAGAAGTATTAAATAATGTGGAGCATTTAAATCATAATCGCTAGCAAGCTTCAATTAAGTTACGCTTAAAATAACAAAATGATTCTGCACATTATTTAGTCCAGTACTCAGGCTGTTCCTTTTACATTATGGCAATTAAATTTTTTCAACTCATGATATACATATAGCAAGGATACTAGAGTCCATTGATTATTAAATGCTCTAATACAACATCCATAAACTGAACAAAAATACATAACAGGGCGGGGGTGGGAGGGGGAGGGGGATGGGGGACACAGTGGCTCCAGCCACACTAGGGTACTTAACAGAGTTATCTCCAATAATTACCTGGCTAAAAAAATGCAACTTCCCTTTTAACCGGGTTACCGTTTGTTTAGAAAAACTTTTGAATGGGTCATTGAAAAAACTAATGCAGTCCACTTGCTAAGTATGGCTGCAGCCAATGTCGCAAGCCTGCTGGAACTTTGCACACTAAATAAGAAAGAGGAGTCATATATTTCACATTCCAGTATCTTATGTTAAACTTTAATAACATCAATACTGTGACCCACAGAGTTGAAATGATGGGTCACAGCATTTCTGATGTTCTGGTATGGTCTAATGCAATGAAACGAACATTTAAAAAAAGCCCTGTGAAATAGGAATCATTTTCAAGCTTGGAACTGTTCAGCTGAACGGACTAAAATTCAACACCAATTTCAGTTTCATTTGAAGTGTGACTTAAACTTATGCATGTGCGACTATTAACAGGTAAATGTACATGTTGTAGTTAATTTTTTATCTCAGGGAATTTTTGTTTTTCTTTTGTTTTTGAGTATCATAATGTATGCTAATGAAGTTGAAACAAAGGAAAAATAAATATTACCTGAGATAAAAAATTAACTACAACACACACATGCCTCAACTTTTCATCTCAATATCATATTGTGTAGTTTGATGATTTCTCTTAGACTGAAAAAGGGTTATACACTGTGTTTACTACCACTTGTTACACTTTTTGAGATATCATTTCTACATTGTTATTCTATAAGTTATCTAAAACAAAATTCTTCATTCACCATTTTCAGTAAGGCTCTGTTCAAACACCAAACTTTTCATGAGCTTAACCTAATACATTGAATTAAGTACATGAAAAGTTCGGTGTCTGAATCAATTAGGAATGCCTGCTTCAATTTGGAATGGCTAAGCCGTTCTTTCTGCTTAACCCGGCTGGGAATTTTGACTTTGGAACGGCTTTGATTCAGATACCGAACTTTTTTGTACCAAACCGAATGCATAAATTATTATGTAATTTTGTAAGCAGTTTGACCTAAATGAGCATTAGTCTTCTCCTTTTGAATTAAGTTCAGCTGCAATAAATTTAAGATTGGCCTCTGAATCAATTCAGCCAGTCTAAAGGTAATTCGGGTCAGCCTTAATTTGAGTTATGTTTGGCTCATGAAAAGGGCTTCTACTCTTGGGGGTTCAATAGGAAGGTCAAAATTTACATGTTACTTAAGGTGAGCTGTTCCTTTTGGAGGGGCCCCTACTTTTTTCATTTTATAGTACTGTCAAACCTTGTTAATTATAATACAGACACTGAGGGGGCCATAGAAAGTGTCCATATTACGTTAACAGGGTGTCCATCTTACGCAGGTTGAATTTAGAGAAAAATTAATGTGAGGGCTTTCTCTCCCTGGGGACAAAGCAAACTGTCCATAATAAGCAGGGCAAGCGGGGTTCGACTTCATAACAAATTTGTATAGGTAATAGCATGATTTGTAGTGATATTTGGCATAAATACCACGAGTGATATTTCAAAATTGTTATAAGTAATTTCACGAGCCGTTAGGCGAGCGAAATTTGAGACAATTTTGAAATATCGCAAGTGGTATTTATGCCAAATATCATGTACAAAACATGCTTTTATTTGTTTATACTGCTACCCATGAAAGGTTTGTAATTTTCACATGTAGGTATTTCAAATTAAGCTGAAATACCACTGCTCTAAGCCAATCAAATTGCAGAAATTTCTCATGTAGTAATATAACTACTGTAATTGCATGTATAAACATTTTGTGAAAGGTTTGACACCAGGAGTAATTTCATAAGTGGAATATGATTGTCTGGGTGAGTGTAGTCACGACTGTTCTTGACAGTGACTGACATTTTGGCGACGTGTGCGGTAGTCATCTTCAGAGTCAAAGCGAATTATATCACATCAGTGGATGGCATTTAACTATGGTTATTGACCTGACTGGTCAATTGAGTTGCGATGCTATTGTTATTGATGGTCTGTCAGTTATTTAAGCTGTTAAAATATTGGCTATGAAGCCTCTAAATGCCATTGGTGTGTTTCGATCTGTCTTTTGTGACAGTAAAACAGCCGTTTATTATTAGTCAAATTGTCCATTGTCTAGTCATTCTATTGTTGCCAGTTTTGCTTGAGTCTATCAATAAGTCATGTGTATGGTGGCGGTTTGTTAGAAAACCAGCTTTCTAGGATAAGTTGATGATTGAAGTAATTAATATACACAATATGTAACACATGTTGTACTGTCGCAGTCAATTTGATGTTTCATCTGTAAATGGTGTTCACCATTTCTTGTTGATTGTGCATGTTCAGTCAATTGAATGCTAAGGTTTCTTATAGTCTCACCAATGTAAGTGGCCTGGCAGTTGCAACAACTTGCATACTGTACCCTGTCTGTCCTCTGGTCTGTCTTTGTCCCTTAAATTTTGTAAGCAGTTGTCTAAAGTGGTCATCAGTTTGTATGCAATGCATGCAACCATTGTAAGGTGGTAGTATAGGTACGATAGTTTCAGAGGTTCCTCTGATGTACGGCATAGTTCCTGTTGAAAATGGGTCTGGTATTAAAATAAAGCTTGAAAACATAATTACATAATAATAACAATTATTATTGTTATACACCGTATTCACAAATGGCGGACACGCGGGAAAAAACTGGTGCCTAGTCATGAAAGCGAGGCATTGGAGGGTAAACAAAAATTGCAAATGAAGACTTTCAGTGAACTTGNTGGCCCATGAAAAGGGCTTCTACTCTTGGGGGTTCAATAGGAAGGTCAAAATTTACAGGTTAATTAAGATGAGCTGTTTCTTTTGGAGGGACCACTACTTTTTAAATTTTATAGTACAGTACATTCAAACCTCGTTAATACAGACACTGAGGGGGCCATAGAAAGAGTCCATATTATGTTAACGGGGTGTCCATCTTAAGCGGGTTGAATTTAGAGAAAAATTAATGTGAGAGCTTTCTCTCCCTGGGGACAAAGCAAACTGTCCATATTAAGCAGGGCAAGCGGGGTTTGACTTCATAACAAATTTCTACTGTAATTACATGTACAAACATTTTGTGAAAGGTTTGAAACCAGGAGTAATTTCATAAGTGGAATATGATTGTCTGGGTGAGTGTAGTCAAGACTGTTCTTGACAGTGACTCGCATTTTGGCAACGTGTGCGATAGTCATCTTCAGAGTCAAAGTGAGTTGTATCACATCAGTGGATGGCATTTAACTCTGGTTATTGACCTGACTGGTCAATTGAGTTGTGGTGTTATTGTTATTGATGGTCTGTCAGTTATTTAAGCTGTTAAAATATTGGTTATGAAGCCTCTAAATGCCATTGGTGTGTTTCGATCTGTCTTTTGTGACAGTAAAACAGCTGTTTATTATTAGTCAAATTGTCCATTGTCTAGTCATTCTACTGTTGTCAGTTTTGCTTGAGTCTATCAATAAGTCATTTGTATGGTGGTGGTTTGTTAGAAAACCAGCTTTCTAGGATGAGTTGATGATTGAAGTAATAATTAGTATACGCAATATGTAACACATGTTGTACTGTCCCAGTCAATTTGATGTTTCATCTGTAAATAGTGTTCACCATTTCTTGTTGATTGTGCATGTTCAGTCAGTCAAATGCTAAGGTTTCTTATAGTCTCACCAATGCAAGTGGCCTGGCAGTTACTACAGCTTGCATACTGCTCCCTGTCTGTCCTCTGGTCTATCTTTGTCCCTGATATTTTGTAAGCAGTTGTCTAAAGTGGTTATCAGTTTGTATGCAATGCATGCAACCATTGTAAGGTTGTAGTATAGGTACGATAGTTTCAGAGGTGCCTCTGATGTACGGTATAGTTCCTGTTTAAAATGGGCCTGGTATTAAAATAAAGCTTGAAAACATAATTAAATAATAATAATAAGTATTATTGTTATTAGTTATTTCTATAATTTTTACCTACCAGTGTAAAACTAAAGAAGAGTCCAATACCTCCCACATCATTCTTAACTGTTTTCAGTCCTGTGTTTGTAAGGTAATCATAACATGTGGGACACTGATCTGGGCAACTAATGGTGTGATTCGTGCAACATGGAAGCTGAAAATATTAGTGAAACGATCAAGAATAAAATAATAATGTTATTGGATGAGGCTGAGTATGATAATTATAAATTCCAATCTACAAAATATTTGCCGGTTCCTTGGCAGTGTGATGCTTTTTTCAGGCAGATATTATCTTAAAAGCAGTAGTTATCCCTCAAGTGGTTATTATGTGTAATCTTGCTGTTTTTGAGGCAGTGATTTGGCTATTTTGCTTTTGCATTATGTTTGCGATCTTCCACCACTTCCTCATCAAAACAGCTTACTTTACTCCCATGCCATTGTCTTTGCATGACATTATTATTTTAGTCCCTCTTTTGACTGGATATTTCATGATCAACATCAATGGTAAAGTAAACAGAACACAACGTCCAAATTTGGTACATACTACACGTAGCTGGTTATTAAGAATTAGCCAGGAAATTTACTTTGAAACTTACAAAACCTTGAACACCAGTAAAATTTCTGGCATATTATTGTGTTGCAAGGAAAGAGCTGATCAGTCTAGGTATAAATAAACTGCAAGCAGCAACAGCTAATATGTTTGTGCCTTTGTGGCTTGCTAGCATGTCCTTCTATTCAATGTAAATGGTCATAAAACAGTACACACTGTAAATCCTCCATTAAGCCCTCCTCTCAAATAAGCCCCCTCCCTCTAATAAGTCCCCCCCCCCCTTTTCAGGGGAAGAAAATTAAAAAGCCTCCCTCCCCTCCGCTCCCCTAATAATTATTCACCATTAAAATTAATGATAGACTGTATTAATCAATCATGACTGTAATACTTCATGTGGACTGATCCAGGATGGTTTATTTACCAACTGGAAGTTCGGATTTGATTCTGATCCTTGACTGCATGACCTCTAACCTTCTTGTACTTGAGCTTTCCCACTTTGTATTCTAGTTCTTTATGAACAACTGATACAATCATCTTTTCTAAATTAAATAAGCCTCCGTCTCTATTAAGCCCCCTCTCAAATGGGCTTTAACTAAATAAGTCCCCCGGGGGGCTCAATAATTGACTCCAGCAGTGGAAGAGTTAAAGTTTCTTTCAAGAGGCCTCACAGTGATTTGAAATTGGTGTGTACATGTTCATGGGTCTTAAATTGTTACCAGCTGGTTTCCAACGTGCCTAGAAATAGCTAGCGACCAGAATGTCAAGGCTGGTCACCAGATGGCTCTTGTATCACAAAGTTAATTTTGAACCCAGAATTGTGAGGGAACTATAGATATTTCCTTACTACACCCTTCAGGTTCCTTGTTGCAGTAACAATACAATCTTAGAGGTTTATTTGAACAGCATTTTAAAGATTATTATTTGTTTGAAATATTTCTGGTTCTGGCTGGTTTATCTCAGCTAATAAAACTTTGAACACCAGAAATATTTTAGGAATACCATAAATCCTCTATTGTGGTTTTCAGAAAGTTCTAAAATAATGATTTTTCATTTTGGTTTTTTATACTCTTTCTGTCCCCAAACCATGCAGTTTATATCCAAAAAAGTAGATGGTCTTGTAGATCAAGGCACTCACAATCATGACTCTGAGTCTCACATTTATTAACTCTAGGAGAAAGGTGTGGCTAATTATATACATTGGGTTTTACTAATAAACCATACCTTGGCACATGATGGGTGACCATATGGGCCATCTGTAATGTTCTCAAAATTGGGGTCAAAACCACAACAGTCTCCTGTCTTCTGGAACTCTTCCTTTGTTTTGTTACTCAGAGATGCCCAGCCCTTCTTAAGAAGTGCATGTTGTTGACTGGAACTGATTGATAGTGCGGCCACAGACAGAGAGAAGAGAATAATAAACACAATAATCATAATTGCCATGTACTACACGTACATCTAGTTAAGGATAAACACCTTGGACCATTAACTAAGGCAACTCCCCAGGATGATCTTACATTGAACTTCATGAAGGGGCATCTGGCAAGATACAGAAGTTTAAGGGTGATTTACCCATATAATACAAGAGTGTAAACGCAAGCACAGGCAACAAAAACATGGCACCTCACAGAACCCCTCATTTCCAGCTGTAGTGCATTCAGGTTGTTATCATCATAAGCACACATATGTGCACTGTTTATGTGACATTATACAAGTTTTGTGCTTGTGGTTGCATTTTATGTTGCGGAAACAACAGAGAGATTGCTTTGACCAGCCCAACTCTCTGACTTACATATGTACAATTTGAATCACTGATATAGCCATGGCAACAACCAAAAATTGATCTAGACCACAGGCATACCATTATGTCAGTTACTGAAAACTTTCTGTTCTTTCTTTTTTCCAAACTACAATTCATTTTTGGCAATGGTAAATTTATCTTAACAAAGGATACAAAAAATAAAATAATCTGGTGATGCTTGATTGCACCATAAATTCCAGCAATAGACAGTAACATCAAAAACACTCCACATGCAATAGTACCACCCACTATAGGCCAGCTGGTCAATACAGCACTTATTTTAAAGGACACTGGGACAATAATGAGTGTCAACCCTACAATCTGCAAAATACAGAAAACAAAATAAAATGTTAACAATAAGGTTTCCATTCAAAGTAAGTTTGACGACAGCAAAGAATGTGATGTGAGATTGACTCCTGGAGGTGATGCCACATATGTAGGTGGGTTAAGTAGTTTGTTTACTCTTACACAGCATATTTTAAGGAGTTAATGTTGACACTTGGCCGATACCACTAATGTTACGTTACAATGAGCAGCTATCGGCGGCACATCTGTTGACTTTTGTTAGCATATTGGTCAACTGTTGTATAAATTTCCATATTTTCATTTGGCATAGTGTTAAAGTGTGCAATGCTGCCATTATGGTACACAGAGTAACATTTGAAAAAGAAACTTGTGCTGAAAATAGCCTGCATAGCAAGCGTTTTTGCACTAGTTCATGAGAATTGCTATAAAGGCTATGTAGAGACCCGCCATACTCCACTGGTTACATCTGAATGTTTTGTTTTGTATGGCATTTAGTACTATTTTTTAACACTTGTTCATTAAACAAAGGATTCTGAGTATAATACACACCCTAAAACTTTGAAACAAGTTTTGGTGAAAAAAAGTGTGCATTATACACTAGTAAATATGGTAGTCAAGAAATATGACTTCAGAAGAAGAGTTAACCAAGTATCTGTAAAGTATCTGCTAATTGTTTGTGGCCTAATGATCAATATGTTGACTGATTATTTATCCATCTACATTTCGGCTGATGCGTGATTGACATGCCACCCATCTGGTGGTTGACATATCTACTGATTTATGTCAACCCACATATCAAACAAGAATTTGCCAATATGTCAAGCGATAGTCTGCTGACTGGTATAAGTTGACATACCAGCCAACTCGTCAACTGTGCAAAATATTGGCCAATAGTATCAATTGATACTCAGCCGTAAGAGGGGAGAGGAGGTGCTTTAATTGCACAAGTTCTGGCAATTGTTCAAGACGGTGAAGAAGTAAAAAATTGACCAAAGGAAATGGATCAAGGAGGTGATTTCATTTAGGGAAACTGCATTTGTTTTTTAATTGAGGATTTTTTTTTTCAGCTATGATGTGTGATTGTGTCAATCTGTTTTTTTTTTTTACTGCATAATAACTCCACTACTACTGTCAATACCGACTCAGAACGTGTGCGAATTAACCACATGATGGTCAAAAGTAGAAAGTCGATCAAGGGCAAAAAGGTCAGACTCTTCATAAAAAGTTAGCTAAGCATAGAGCTACGTTTACGGTATAAATTTCGTGAACAAATTAGACAAACATAAATTGTAACGAATAAGGAAGGTTGTGTTAGATCTTCTAAATGACATATTTGAATCTTACATGTAAAAAGCACACAGCCATTCAATTGATGTAAGCTTACTTATTAAGCTTGAGCTTCAGTTCAGAAGTAAGCTTATAAACTACCTTAACTCCAACTTACCATATAAATGATATTCAAGAATATAAGCCCCAGCTTATAGCATCTGAACGTCATAGAAGAGCCTGTTATCCCCATTTTGTGTAAAATTATAAAACACGCCAGGAGAATTCCCGGAAGCTCTGACCTCACATGATACTAAGTCCAATCCAAGATGGCTGCTCCTCCTCGAGTGACGTCACTCACGAATGTGACCAATCCATGATATTTTTAGAAAGCCGCTTATCAACGCAATGATGGGAGGGGAGGGGGAGGGCCAAATTCACGCGGTACGTTATTTATTCATCAAAGAGAGGGTGAAGAGAGAGCTTTGTCCTCTCTTGATTCATCGTAGTAAAGGTGGTTCACTTTTTACGCGAAAATTTGTATCCTGGTATCATTGTTCATTTGTGCCAATAAATTCTCTCAAAAGCTGAATAATACAAGACGTAACGATATACAGTGTCGAAAAAGAACTACAGTGCCGTTCGCAGCCGACGTCACTGCGGCCAGTAGCTTGAGAACAAAAGCATTTTCCTCAGCTGAGAACTGAACTCTATTTTCATGCAAATTCCGCAAAAAAATTGTATGGTCTTGTCAAACAAGTTTGCGTCTTGTCACGAAATTAGCACCTGAATTACAAATATATTTTTTGTTCATCACTCAGCCTTGCTACTTTTCGGATGCTTTTTTTCAGTTTCAAAAATTTACTGACCGGGTATTCCGCCCTTTTTAAATACCACAAGAAATCACTACATTTTTCTGCAGGAAACAGCAGTTGCTATTGACAGATTAAAAGTCACTGCACTTGATTTTCGTCGTTTACTGGCGGTAGGTCGTGCCGGCTTTTACCCTGTCCAGTGGCGGAAACAAACTTATGTTAGGATATACAGGTTGTAGCAAAACCCGGAGACTGAAGAATTTCCTGTTAATAGAGTTTTTCTAGTATTACCAAGATAAAGCTGTTTGAAAATGATCGAAAGTTTACACACGTTTACAGTCTAGCTTACAGTTTAGGGCCCAGTCAGTGTTCATAAGCCGCGGGAATTATAGTGCTAACCAGTAAATTTCAATCCTCTTGTTCAAAAGCATTTTCACGGATAATTTTCGCTATTCTTTTCAGAACATCCAGTCACCAAATTGTAGTCAAAAAGAATTTCAAAACTGAATTTGATTTTTCAGTAAGCTTTCACATTGAAATCAAATTTCGGACTAGGAGGATCGTAACCCCTGCTCCGACAGCAACTTTGAACCACCCGGCCCTGGGCGGTAGAAAGAGTTAGCTTCATCACTCGTTTGGGGTTCGCTGAGTGAGGAGCGAGGACACGCGGCTTGCTTAAATAAGTGGTATTTCTTTTGCAATTTGTGTGGCGGTCGTTTACTTTGGGACGAGCTCGAGAACTAGAAAGACTCAAAGAAGATGATCTCAACATAATAATAAAGGTGCGTTAATATACTCTTGCTCCTAACTAAAAAGCGTAACAAGCGCGCTTTTGCCAGAAACGAGTTCAGGCATGAGCCATAATGGCTCTTGGTTCATGGCAACACTTATATTTTAACTTTTATTTTACTTGTTTCATTTGTTACTATATTGATTGTTTTGGTACTGAAATCTTCATGTCGAAGATAAAGGCAATAAAGTTGTTTATTATAATTTTGCGACCAATTTGTACTAGTGGCCCTTTGTGGCCTAGTGGCGCTTTCAAGAGTGTAACTCTTATTCTCATAGGAATTTCGTTGTATTTAATATGTTACAGGTATCATGGACGAAATATCCCAGTAAACAAGACTGGTAGAAGACGTAAACATTGCTGCTCAGCTGTCCAATCAGAACACGCGTTAGATTTGAGTGTCATGATTTCCGTGCGCGCAAAAACAATGGCGCGGACTGTTCAACATTCCCGGATACAACAAGAGAGGACTTGAAACGAGTCACAAAACCGACAAAAGTAGTTACTCGAGGTAAAGGATTTGAAATCTTTTTGGACCCCTTTCAATAAATACTGTTCATTATTTGTTCCTGTGGCGGCTAAAACAAGGTAAGCTAAACACGATTTTTTTTTTCGTGTTTCCGAGCGCGTACATGGAAAATTAGGGTGCTTTTAGTTCGTTAGATGCCTCCAGTTGTCGCGGTGAATGAGTTCCGGTATTACAAAGCCAACAGTTTTCGGCCGTATGTTCGCAGTGAACTGGCGGTGTATGTCTTAATTCAGTTATTCATCCGTTCAGTTCGCGTGGGAGACTCACATTTTGCAGATTTCGGGGTTATTTTTCTCTGTAACTGTTGACTTTTTTGTGTTTTCTTGTTCTCGCTTTGGCTCACTGCGTGTTTAATTTGAGTGCAAATTAATGAAGTTTCCTGCTGCATGCATGATTCAGTGAATGCAAATCATTGAATCGATCCAAAGTATTCTCCTATTTCTAGCGACCGTCTCTGCCTGAAAGGGGCTGCTTATAGCATTCACACGGTCGCACATGCATGCACAGCGATATGACTCCTTGAAACCATAACATCGCGAAAAGCAATTTCCTTGGTGTAAGTGAAACAATATTTGACTGAGCGAGGCTTTTATATTTGGGAAATTACCCGAGGTTTTATACACAGTTATTATATCGATTCAAGCACTTAAACGGTTTGAGAGTGTTTTTATTTAGGAAAAAATAATAGAAATAGCTTGGCATTCGTTTTAAACGAACGGCTCATATTTAAATCAGGAGAAAGGTTTTTGAAATTATTAAAGAATTGTATACTACAGTATGACTGTGTTCTAGCTTTTAACTCTTATGTTATCACATGAAATTACTACTTCAAAAGTCACCCAAATGCTGAGTCCATGCTGCGTGCCTCTAATGTGAGTCTTAGCATTTATGCCACGTTTCTTACCACAACAAAACGTCAGATCCACAGTAAACTCTTCATTCTTATCACTCTGTTGCATTACCTGAAGGTATTTGATTCACTGTACCACAGCTGGCAAATTTATAGTGACCAAAATATTTTGTGCAAGGAGGGCATTTTGTGCCAAGTTGTTTTGACAAAATCGTCACATGGGAAGGAGCACCCAGGAAAAAAATCTCTCAGTCTTTAGATAGTGCCTATTCAATATTCACAATATTTCATCAGTAAATGGTTTGAACCAAGAAGCTATTTGCCCAGCAGGTTAAAATAATATGGTTGTTTGAGTGAGTGTAGTCTGAAAAGGACTCTTTGTAAGGGTAACAAATAATTATGAGAGTCATGGTCAGAGTTTGTAAAAAGCTACAGTCATTGTTTAGTGATGAATAACTGATAGACAGCAAAGACAGCGCAATACCAGTGATGATGGTATGCACAGGGCTAAAAACCAGACGGACCAATGACAATGCGTTGTATTGAGTGGAAATTGTGTTTAGTCCTTTCTGCATGTGCTTTTGCACTCTCATTTGATGTCACGTTATGTTTTTGGTAAATCCGCCTAATAACATTATTGTCAAACCTGTGTGATGTATTATCCTACAGTAATGTCCAACAGACTGCTCAATTTTCAGGTGCATCAAATAACTGATGTGACTTAAACTTGAATCCTAATCCTACATACAGTTCTTGATGGTCCCGACACGAGATCACCTCGGACCACCGGGTATCGCGGGTTGAAAACGAGAACCCGCTGATCTTTTAGTTTCTAGAAAGTATGTTTATTATACGACTCGTGAGATCTAAAATGTCCAAGTGTCGTCTGGGCTCTCTTCAATTTTCCATAGAGCAAAGCCTTGTACTACCTTCATTCCAAGCCACACCTGCAAATTAAACGGTCACCTAACAGATTCCTTTTGATCCCTCAGCTTCCTCAGCTAGGGTCTCTGAGACTGTCTTCTGCCCTTGCCCTTGCAGTGCTGTCAACTCTCCCGGATAATCTGGGAGACTCCAGATTTTGGACCGTATCTGCCAGTCTCCAGATTAGAGCATGAAATCTCCCGGATTGCCATTTCTTCATGTCAGTAGACCTGGCTTTCCGACAGTATTAAAAATTTCGACTATTTTGCTTTGTTTGAGCTAATTTAATCATAAACTCCACTACGCCGTTGTAACTTTATAGTAATGTGATTGGTGGGAAGTAAACCAATCAGGTCAAATGTTATTATGCCAACAACATCTTTTTCGCGTGTTTTGTGTCACCGCAAATTTTGTAATCGGAGTCAACAAGTATTTTTTGCACATATGACATCATGTGCCGTGCGTTATGATGTCATCTGTTATCCCCTTCCTTAGTTCCCTATCAATTCTCAATATTTGAAGACATGGGGGTTGACAGCCCTGCATTGGTTAATTTTCCCCACAATAATCACTTGTAATAGTCTCTCTATAACAGGAGGGAAAACAATACATGTAAATAAATTGTATGACTAACTTTTTGTAGTATGATAGTTGAACTGCATTGTTTCAGAGGGATGCACGGTAAATATTTTGATGGTGATTCATGTTTCTTTCTGTTACAATTTGTCGCGTGAATGCAAGTCAGTGTTAAATGTTTTAATAATTTCGCAAATAAAGTTCATTAATTCTTTCAGTTCACTAAATGAAAATGTTTTGATTCTTTAGTTTGTGGCATGTTCTTGGAGGCTTTGTCACAGAGTAGGTGTTGACTCTATGAATGCTCTTTTCAGACCATCCACCCTGGCTGCGGTATCTTGTTGTGAGTCATCTAAGATGTCCTCTTCATCGCCAGTGGCGGAGAACTGGTGTTACACTCAAATCAAAGTCATTAAGTTCTCCTACATGTGGACAATAAATAACTTCAGCTTCTGCCGAGAAGAGATGGGGGAAACATTAAAAAGTTCCACATTTTCTGCTGGTGCTAATGACAAGATGAAGTGGTAGGTATTGTTTTTGTACATGTACATGCCTTGCATTTATGGGTCCAGCTACACTCAGTGTATAACTTGACTGTGGAAACATTTCTACTGATGTTTAAAGGGTTTCATTCATTGTTTGTCTCACAATTGTCACTTAGATATTCATCGCTACATTTTGACCGCCTACTACAGGTCTTCATCAGGCAATAGTGTCATTTTTGATGGTGTTACTGTCATGTACACTGTATGTAATATTGATGTGTCCTAGAAAATGAGTGTTCAAATTTTCCCCCCTCCACTTCCTCGGTTTGCCCCGAATAGTGACCACCTCTTTGCAACAGCTACTAGCGCACCTCTCTCTCCAAGGTGGGTGTGCAGGAAAGTTGGAGATATTATGTACAGTAGATGGATCTAGAACAACATTTACAGCTAACAACAAATATCAATAACATCTGTACCATGTGGTCAAGTTTTTCCTTTACCAGTCTTGTACTGCTCATTATATCTACAAAAAATATCAGTTTCACCCTAGTTTTATCCATAAGAATTTTTATGGTTTGCACAGTTTTTATCTCTTCATTTTCTGTTTTGGAGAAATGGTCAACTTGAATTTAATGTTTGCCAAAAACATGATTGTAAATCTCTTTAATGATTCTGATCTAGACCCTGTCTTGAAATTGGACCTTTACACATGTAAAAGGAATTAGCATTTCTGAATCTGTGACACTTTTTATTTTGCCACATGTGTAGGTGCCTTAGAGTAAATCCAAGAGGCTTAGATGAAGAAAGCAAAGATTATTTATCACTATATCTACTATTGCTTGCTTGTAACAAGAGTGAAGTCAGAGCAAAATTCAAATTTTCAATCCTTAATGCTAACAGAGAAGAAACTAAAGCTATGGGTATGTACTTTGTATGTGTATTAACATTTTTCATTTTAGTTTTGTCATCTCATTTGCATGAATCCATTCCATCATGAGTCTAGAAAAGTGTTAAAGGTGCAGTTTCACTGCGATATTCATATGGGTATCAATTTTTTTGCAAACAAGTTTTTCATCCTAACTTGTGTTAGTACATGTTGTTTCTTAATTCTTGGTGTTGCAGATGGCTGCAAACACCAAATGATGTAATACAGCAGATTGAAAAGACACTCAGAATGATACCCAAACCACAAAACAATAGCTATCCAACAATGGTTTCCACAATACCAAGAAACACCTCTTGTGTTTTCCATGATTAAGATATTTTATTAAGATTGAATATGCCTACAGAAGAGGGGCTGGAAAAGTATACATCTACATTCTTCTTACAGCTCTCCAAGAATCAGACATCTTTGTCCAACAATTCAAAGGGGACAGACAGCAAATTGTTGTTGCTCAAAATGTCTATTTGTCATTGATAACTGTTCATCAGTTACGACAGTGACAGTGACAGATTGACTTGATGGTTATGTATGTCTAGTGTGAGGTGTGCAATATTATAACAGTCTGCATTTTCTCAAAAGGTGCTTTGAAATGTGGTGGGTATTTGTACACTGTAGACAAAATGCAGTTTATACAAAGTGTGAACTTAGATATTTATTATTGTAAGCCCTATGAAAGGGAGGTACATGTGAAATTTCCCTGGCAGTGTGTTTGCTGTGGTTCAATTTTATCCTTGGCTTAAATTTTATTTTCTTTTGTTTTTGGGTATGGCAATGTATGATCATGACATGATAACAGTTTTGAAACGAAAGAAAATAAAATTTAAACCAAGGATAAAATCAAACCACAACATATACATATGTTCAAAATAGTAGATGTTATTAAAGATACTACTTGCTTGTAATCAACACTGTCAAATTCATAACACACACTATTTATGACATGTCTAAAATTAAATTCTTCTGCTTTCTCAGAGAGCCAAAGGGCTTATAGATTTGTACAAGGAAAAGACTGGGGATTTAAAAAGTTTATAAGAAGAGACTTTCTCATGGATGAAGCTAATGGTTTATTACCCAATGACACACTCACTCTGTTTTGTGAGGTAAGGCATCATGAACATGATACATGTACATGCACAACCTGCCATAAAGCACTCATTATCTAGGATAGAAAACTTATGGTTTGATTAAAATTACTATATTTGAATAGGGTAAATGCAAGTCATCATCATCATCATCACAATTAGGTTGGTAAAAGCCAGTTAGGCAACACACCAACCACTCACAAAATTTGAAAGTAAAATTTACATGCAATAAATAGATTAAAATTAATTTAAAAAAAGAGAAGTTGACTGTGATAGTAATGATTGAAGTGCTAGACAATTTTTTTGTAACAGTATGTCTGGTGGTGATTAGAAGCTGAACACTAGAGTGTTTGTTTTCAACAAGAAGATACAATCTTTAATTCAGGGAGTTCAGATTGGTATGTCTAGCCTATATATTAAGGCAGTGATTTTAAGGCTCTAGATTGATCACCATAGTGATCTAGAATCGCAGGCCAGCTTTGTAAAAAGGAACTCTGAACCTCCTCTGTTGTCACATTTACATTTACCCATATGCCCTTCTGATGCAGGGCTTAAATGTGTGTTTTTAAGAGTGAATCCTCCTTTTTTACTTTCAATAAAAATTCAATGTATAAGTTTTAGTCACATCACAGGGCTGCCAGGAAGATTTCGCATATCTGGCTGTACGCAATAAATTGAACACCTCACTCCCACACTGGAGTGTTTACTATTATTGAAAGTTGTCTAGTCTGCAAAAAAGTAGGTTTTTTTCTCAAAATCAGTTTAGCATACACGGTGTTCATTAGGCACCATAGATTGGAGAATTCTCTGTTTACGATGCAGAATTCTCTGGCTAACCTTTGGTATTCTGTGACTATTTTCTATTCAGATGTGGAGCCCCTTTCAAAATAATCTCTTGTAAGGTTATACCTTCCTCCTGCTAGCAGAATTCTTAATGAAAAGCCTGAACATAGCATAAGAATAGCGTTAGGGTCCCCCATGCACAAAGTGAAACTTGCTCTCTGTTTGCAGCCTTGCTCCAGACCTTTTGCTTGACTGTTTGCGCATACTTGAATACGCAGGAATACGGACTGTTTTGCAGTCTAAAAGGTTGCCAGGGGTCATGCTCATAGCAGCTGGGGGAAATCCCCAGCTCCCAGCCCTTAGTAACAGCCCTTATACCAGATTATTTTCAGTAGTTTTGATGTGTTTTTGTAATAATGAAAAATGGTGGTACTGCATATGTCTGACATTTGTGCTACGTTATTTCAGGTCAGCGTTGAAGGTGATTCAGTTAATGTATCAGGTTCTTCTCATACTGCTGCACTTAAGGTTCCTGAATGCAAGCTTTCAAGACACATGGGATCTCTTTTAGACTCTGGCACCTTTAGTGATGTTACATTATGCACAAGGGGCCGAGAATTTAAGGCTCATAAAGCTATATTATCTGCACGCTCCCCTGTTTTTGGAGCCATGTTTGAACATGAAATGGAAGAAAGTAGAAAAGGTCGTGTGGAGATAAGTGACATAGATCCTGATGTGTTTCATGAAATGCTAAAGTTTGTTTACACTGGTAGCACACCACAACTTCAAGGAATGGCAGATGATCTTCTAGCTGCTGCAGACAAGGTTGGGTCTTTAAAAAATCAGAAGTTTTAGTTTCTCGACCTGCATATCTATACTGGCACAGATTATGTCTAGCACAATAACCAAACAATACACCTGTACAATTCCCATCAAGACTTAATTGTTTGCTTCTCTTGTTTCTTATATGTTAGACGTGTTTTGTACTGCCGGCTACACTGTACATGAAGAAAAAACTTGAGTCATTGTTGTCAGTCATTAATCTTTGCTGCTCGTAAAAACACACAAAGGACACTATTTTGGCTGGACAAAACCAAAAATGTGGTTGGACTCAATCAAGGAAGCATTTAAAGTGCATTTTAGACAAAACGTTAACAAGTGCTACTCCCCACCCCCAAGTTAGTGCCTCAGTGGCAATAAAATCAAAATCAGATGTTAATTCTGTTAATTTAATACAAAAATAACAATACTGTAGTTATAACAATTCTTTCAACTAAACACCACTCTTAAGTGAGCCCCATCCTCAGATAAGGGCTTATGATTTATGGTTTGTAGAATTAGCAGGTACAGCTGCAGACTGACAACTTCAGTCTCTAATTATATTCACTGCAATAATGTTATGTCAGTGTTAATAATGATTCATATCATCTCAAGCTAGATGTCAAAGTTAGTAGCACTGCTATGGTTGTTAGTGATTGTGTACATGTATATGTTTTGTTTAAATTTTATCCTTGGTTCAAATTTTATTTTCCTTTTTTTACAAACTCATCATTTGTTTCACCATACACAATAAACAAAGAAAAATAAAATTTGAACCAAGGACAAAATTGAACCGTAACATATACAGTATGCCGTGGTTAATTTTTGTTTTCCTTTTGTCTTTGGGTATGGTAATGTATGCTAATGAAGTTGAAACAAAAGCAAAAATAAAAATTACTTGAAATAAAAAAATTAACTACAACATAAAAGTTACACATTTCAATCCTACTCATGGTTGCTGGAGTTTGATCCTTATTCTTGATGCTAGAAACTACCAGAAAGTATGAGTACTGTGTGTCAAAAAAGTAGTATTGCTTTACTAGCAGAATGTTGAAGTTGTAACATGTACAGGATTGACTATTAAATGGGGAGGGGGAGGGGGTTAAAATTTAATGTGTTCTGGACTATGCTTTAATTAGGGTGCCTGAGAGTAATCAGATTACTGGTTGTGGTAGGTTTATTCAGGGGCATACTTGGCACAGGTGTCGTACTCTGTGTATGCAGTACATTGTATGTTTCTTGGATTTATGCTTGTGCTACATTTGTAAACCAGCGTGGCTAGTACAAATCACACTAAAATTTGCTAGTGGTCTTAAGACATGAAAAACACTATAGTGTCTCAGTTTTCAATAATTTACTTGAACCTTTACATGTGTTCCTTTTTTGCAGTATGACTTGGACAGATTAAAAGTTATGTGTGAGGAAGCATTATGTTCAAATTTAACAGTAGACAATGTGTGTGACGTACTTATACTAGCTGACATGCACAGTGCAACTCAACTAAAGACCCAGGCTCTGGACTACATTAACAGGTTAGAATAGCTGTTACAGACCTCTTCTGCAAGATTTTACTTGTTTGTCACCAAAACTGGGTGTGGAATTTTAGGCCTTCCAGTTGTCAGAAATGATGAGATTTAAATACATGTAGAAACAACCAATTTTCAGAATGTGGTTGCTCAGTGGATGACCATAATTCAAGCTGCCAGCCTCTTGCAGTTATGGACAGTTGTTAGCCCCCAAAATTGTAATCTTAGGTTGAAATTTCTGCATATGAAATGGTACAGTTTAACCCCTTTAAGTCCCGAGAGTGACCAAAATTAATTTGCTCCTCACAATATCAGTACATTATCAAAAGAGAAGGTTATGAGATTTAATAAAATGATCACCTCAGAGAAAATACCTTGATCTTTTATCAAATTCTCTCAACTAATTCTTTAAGGAATTGTATGGGGATCAGTTTGGAGAATTTCTAAATGGATATAATTATTTGGGGCTCAAAGGGTTGATAAATAGTCCATTTGTTAAATGATTTAGAAGAGTGATAGGAGATTCAGTGCCAGAAACTTAGCCTTGGAGGCCCAACCAAACTCTTGGCTTTAAAAATTTCAGTCGTGATGGAAAACCTGCCAAGCATGACTTTCATTGTATGGTGACCAGAAATCACCTTGGGTGCCTTACTGCCTAGATTCGAAAAGATGTTTGTCCAATGGATAACCTACTCAAAAGTAATTTTCAGACAAAAAACTAAAAAAAAAACAACTGCAAAACTGGAGTGATCCAACTTTTAGCACAGCTCACCATTAATGCAAAGTGTGGTTTCAGAAAAATATTGTTCATAGCCCCACCACCAAAGGAAATTTCATTCATAGCATCTGAAAATCAGGCTGTTTATGTTTTTATTTCCGTAGTCGAACAACAGATGTCATGGAATCAAATGGATGGAAAACACTTGTAAGGGATCACCCTCACTTAATAGATCAAGTTTTCAAGGCATTTCTAGCTTCAACACAGACTCCCTTAATAGGACCTCCAAGAAAAAGGCAAAAGACATCATAAGTTGTGTCACAACATCTTAATAATTAATGTAAAAAAATTATATAGAAAATGGTATATATTATTTTTCCGTAGTGGAGCAATCAGTCTTTTCCTTTGAAGGTTTTCTTGTAAGGTTTCAGGGGGAAGGTACTATCTTAAATGTGTGTCGTATTTCTTTGAGAGTTAAAAATGTAGGTAAATTGTCTCTTTCTTCCTATCCTTTTTTTCCGTAATCATTCGTACATCCATATTCTATTATTCTTTACGTACAGAATCGTTCTTCTTTTACTTTGCCATTATTCCAAAACATTGACCCCTCATTATGTTACCTTTTTAAACCAGCAAAAACATGGTAGACCACAGCATAATTTTACCATCCACTTTTTTGAAATAAGTATAGATCTAGATATTCTGATGAAAACACTCCACATTTGCCACTCTCCTGTAAATTTTATTGTCTCTTCCCTGTTTCTCCTATCTCCTCTGTTCGTCATGCTGTTTCCCTGTTCCACTGATTGCTGCTTTTCATTTTCATGCCTTGCACATACTCCTTTATGTTGGTTCTGCGATCTATTGTGTCAGTGTTCTTCATTTCCATTCAGTCATTTCACTCTTTCATTCAACTTGCTCTCACTTTCCCCCTTTGGCTCCCTTCCTAATGCCTTACTTTTGAGATGAAAAGGAAATGACTGATTGTTCCATATCCGGGGGAGGGGGACTCCGCATATGAAAGGGGTGGGGATGCTCGTCGTCTCGCTTAGGGGTGTAAATTTCAGATTTTGGTCTCATTTAGGGTGTTCTGGGCAAAACGCCATCACATTTAGCCGTGAAGGTCTCGTTTAGGGTTGCACGCGAAAAAATATAAAAATATATATTTGATATGTATATTTTTAATTCGTTTTATTCACTCCATTCATATAATCCAATCTCATTTGTCTGTCATTTGTTTGTCATGGTCTCTTTTAGGGGTCAAAAAAGCTTGGGCCACGCCCAGATCGGTCTCCTTTAGGGGTTTAATTCAAAATTTCCAAAGAGCATCCCCACCCCTTTCATATGCGGAGTCCCCCCCCGGTTCCATATCCTGTACAAAGTAGTTGCAGAGAATAGAAAATCAAAAGATAAAGTTGTTTGTAGCTTTAAAGTTCTTAATATAAAACTTCCTCATTGGCATGACAGGGTGTGTTCCTTAACCCTTTAAGCTGTACCTGTGATCAGCGTGTAACTTCTTCTTCTCCTCTAAAATCAGCGCTAAATCAAACAAAACCATATTGAGAATAAAGAATGAGATCGGTAAAGATAACATTTCTTGATTTTCATGAAACCTGCTCTTTATCGTAAGTCGCTCTGTGCTGTCAAGCTTAGACTTCTTGCAGTTGTCCTGAGCATGAAACTTGGTTACTTATAAAAAGAAATTAACTGTACTGCATTTGTAATGGTACATCTTGGAAAACGGTAGTAATTTTAGATGACCTTGATGAGATGGTCTGATCAATTTTGTTTCAGCCGTTTGGGTCTTTCCATCTAATATAGGTTATTTTTCCTCTCCCTCTCAACAAAATCAATTTTGACCTGAAGGTTTGAACATTTTTTGAGCAGATCTTATAAGTTTTACAAGAGGGGGCCGGAAATTTCACACTGCTGTTTCTCGATGGGCATGCATTTCAGCCAGTTAACTAGATCACTGAACTAGTATTTCAAAGAAGGGAGCCTTTAAAGGGAAATTAACATGGCCCAAATTAGGGTGATGTATTGTTACAAACTTACCTTGTTGTAAATAGTCAGACTAGTTTTAGGTCATGGTGTTGCGACCTAAAAAGCACATTGCGTGACAGTTTCCATGATGGGGCTTTGATGTCTTGCTTCCATGGCAACTGTTTTCAGGCCTTTCATGGTGAAAGCGGGAATTGGACATCATTTCTCGGACAAAATATTTTGAAGAATAACAGGGCCTAAAAAGTAGATTTCCAGCAGTAAAATTGACTGGGCAATTCTTTTTGCACTTCTTTCACTCTTAACGGTGACTGAATTCTCTTTACCTTTTTACGTTCATGATAAGGTTTTGACCATTCTATAAGAAGATATCCTCACAGTGTAAAAAACAAATTGCCCAAGAAACCTGTACTAGTAATTAGTACGCAAAAGGAAACAAAACAACAACAACAACCAAAAAAGGAAGCACTAAAACAGAGAGAACAACAACTAACAACAACAAAATAGAATTTTGATTCTGAGCATTTGGAAGTGTTTAGCCCCATCATGGACACTTGTTCACAGCTCAATGTATATATTTAATAAAAAAAACGCAGTATGTTGTAGAATTTGAGCTCCTTTGGATATTTATTATTTTAGAATTTGAATAAACAATACAGTGAAAATATGTTCTGTTGTTTCAGCAATTCACCTGCAGTTCAGGGTTCGCACGCTTCTTGAAAGTCCTTGAATCTTTAAAAGTCCTTGAAAATTGCAGTCGGTGCTGGAAAGTCCTTGAATTTCAATTCTAACTTTATAGTTTTAGTAGAACTCAAAAGAGAAAAAAGCAAACACAGAAGGACCTTCGGGATAAAATTACTCGTGTTGTGGAAGAACTAAAAAAGATATAGACTCAAGGCTCTTTTTTGCACTTAAGGGAGTCCTTGAAAAATGGGAAATGTGTTCTTGAAAGTCCTTGAATTTTTTGTTCAAAAAGGGTACGAACCCTGTCAGTTTCCTTGCCTTTCTCCTTGCTCTTGCGTAGCGCGCGTTGGGTTGTGGGACAGATGCGCTGCAGCCCTTGGACTAGCCTTCCCATGACGCTCCATGCTTCCGGTTTTCGCCGTGCCAAAGCGGCGCCTGGAAAATGCAGAGTCGTACGCGTCTTTAAAACTTGGTAACTTCACTGGTTTTAAGGCGTTCTTTCTAGTAGTGTCAAATTTTCGGCAACTGGTCACAGTCAAATGTTGAAAACACCGTGGAAGGGTTTATTCTTACGAAATATGGGAAATGTGTAAGGCCCTCGTTACTCTCGCAAAACGGCTTTTATTAACAGTTACCAAATAATTGTTCTTTAATATATATTTAACGTAGTTTATGGAATTTGTGAGTACTGCCGTCTTCTGAAGCACGGACAGCAGGTTTGTTTTATAAGAATAAAGCCATCCTGAAAAGAGTAAAAAAGAAAAACAAATGTATGAAAAACAGCCAAAAGAAGCGCAAACTTTTGTACAATTCAAGACCATTACAGTGTAGTGACGTAAGCGCGAGTGGTTATTTATTGTCTGGATACTAGCTCTCTCTCTTTTTGTCGTAGGGGGCTGGAGAGAGACAAAAAGAAAGCGCGCGGGGGACAATGGGAAGGGGAAAGGGAGGTCTCTTTTCCCATCGTCCAACGCTCGTTTGCTTTTTTAACTACACTATTGCTATTTTTAGTGGAATACTCGGAGGGAAAGGGGGGCCACTGAGGTGGAGAAAGTCTAGCTACAGGTTTGGTAGGCTGCAGCATCGATGCAATAATTTCAGGTAGGGCTGATGTTTGGCTTATTTTGGGTAAATGTAAAATGCCCATCGCCTGCCAACAGTACTAAACAAGGCCAAAGGAAGGGGCAGTTGTAACGGACTAACGGTTACACGTTTTCACGAGGTTAGCACGGGCTCCATGCATGCTCACCTCGTGCACGTTGCAAGCACAGGCTGCACATATCGGACACATTATCTAGGCATTGCGACTAAATCCCGAAAAAAAAGGCCTAAAATCTTTCTGTAATTGCCCCAAAATTGTTCTAAAAATCTCACGTTTAGCCTCAAAAAACTGAACCACAAAACCTCCTAGAAATACTGGTTGGCCTGTGGTGATAATTCTTTAGAGCTTTTGTAGGTTTTGTTACTTGGTATCAACATTACGGAGCTTCAGCAACGACGACGGCGACGGCGACAACCTTGCCTTCACAAGTGTTAATGATTATTATTGAGCTTCATATGAATTTTAAAGTGCTTTTATTGCTCACCTTAATTGTGGTCCATATAGACGGTTTAGTCTCTACATCTGCCAGCATGCAGCGGACATAGCAAGTAAAAACAACGAAAGCTAATATCAGGAACGCAACATAGATCCAATCCTGAGGAAATAGGATTACAGAATTAGGATTATGGTACTAAAATTAAAACTAAGTGCTAACAAGAGTCGAGTGGTAATCGGTTTCCGTTGCTGAATAAAGTTAGAATGCTAGATTTTTCATAACGAAGTAATATTCAACCGAGCTTTGGGTGAGACATAGCCTGCGAACAGCAGACGTATTTCCGACGTCTGCTGTTCGCAGGCTAAGTGAGACAAAGCCGGTATTAATCTTATCTGGACGCTGATTGAGGCGGAAGGTTGATAGAGGAAGGCGAGGCGAGGCGAAAAAAGCAAATCTTGTCAAGAGTACAATTTAGGACATACTGAAGCCCACAGGACCAAGAAAAATGATTTTCGAAGGCGAGCACCCCTCTTTTCTTAAGCTCTTGATGAACGCCCCCACCCCCTCCCTCTCACTTAGTCGTTGAATATCTATATCCGCCATTGTTTTGTTTGTATTATTCTTATCGTTTAAGGAAACATCTTTACTTACACAATTCCTGCTATTGCGCCAGAGCTGAGACCACTGCACCTTCCTGGGCATGCGCACTTGGAATAAAGCGATGTGTACTAAGAAACGCATATAGAAAGTCATATAAATACGTTATTGAGCAAGCGTGAGGTCAAGGTGGCTGGATAATGGCAAAGTTTATGGACCGAGACGTAGTTGAGGTCGATAAAAACGGAAAAGAGGCCAGAGAGAAAACTTTTTCTTGCGGGATTAACGCGGGAAATCCCTAGCGTGCAAGTTTGGCCTATCCTTTCTGGTCGGGTAGCCAATAGGAACACAGGATTTGCTTCATCTTGCCCACTCGCTGGTTCAGCCATAAAATAATTGCTGTTAGGTCACACACAGTAAACCGTGAACACCTGAAATATTTCAGGAATTTGATAGTTTAGTGACCATTCACAACCAGTAAAATTCAGGGGCACTCGAGCAAACTGCAAAACCACAAAGTTCTAACCGTCGCTGTTTACGGTCAGTTCTCTTCGGTTTATGTTTTTTTTTTCTTCGCAACATGATAGCAATCCATAAACTTCATAATTTCGTGCGTTTCAAAGTTAACTTTAAAAATTGGTGAATGACTGATGGATGAATGCATGAATACATAAATGAACGAACGAACGAAGGAACGAAGGAACGAAGGAACGAACGAACGAACGAACGAACTAACGAACGAACGAACGAATGAATAAATGACAACTTCGTACCGGAAAAACGTAGGACGACGTACGTTGAGAGACTTTATCTTAAAGACTCTATCTAGGCACAAGAGTACTGAGACTAATTGCCCTTTGATGTAATTTTGGTTCTTAAAATAGCTTTTGCAATGCTGTATGTACTTATATGGTCTGATGCAAAGAAAGACTGTTGTTGTTGAGACTAATAATGCACTTACATACAAGGAGCCAAATGTTTTCATAACGTCCACTCTTCCTTCTTCTGTGTCTTTACAAATAAGATCAATTGAAGTTTTTCTGTCAACATGATCAATGGAGCAAATCAAAGGGACAATCTCTGAATGTGCTCAAATGCCTTTTAGCGCACTGGCTTCATCATATGCATGAATACAACAAATATAGACGCCAAGCTGAACCTGCAGAGTCTGAAAGGGGTTTCTCGGTATCCGGGATTTGACCCGAAATATAGTGGGGGATTCGGAAAAACGCGAAATTTATTGACGAGATACGGGAATTGACCGTCACTCGAGGGGCGGGATTCGCCAAAATCTTGGCACAAGATGCGGAATTGGGAAAGAAAATGGTATTCGGGATAAAGATGACAGAAGTTTGGGATGCTTGATTGTCGTGAATATAGGCGCGCGAATTCGGATCCGGGACTCCTCCCCCCTTCCAGCTCCTAATCCCGAAGGCCGGGATAGCAATGAGAGAATAAACAAAATATGATGAAAACGTAGACAAATGTGTATTTCAACAAACTAGCTGAGTTAGATTTTATTTCGCCATCTTTTGTTGATTTCTTCATCCCTTTTGCTTCAGGATCAGATTGTCGTCTATATTTTTGTACCCCAGCAATTTATACTAAGGCCTGGTTCAGACGCCGTACTTTTCATGTGCCGAACCTAACTGAATAAGTTCGACTTTGGAGCGACACTGGCGCGACATCTGATTCAGATGGCGTACCGTGTGTCGAACCTAAGTTAAGTTCGACAAAAGTTCGAAAGACTTTGTCGAACTTAACGCTTTTGCCGCACCAAACTAAAACTGCCGTACCAAATTGATTCAGACGCCGCTTTATTGCAGTACTTAATTCATCAGTTAGGTTCGGCACATGAGTGGAGCGGAAACTGAACCACCACCACACAATACAGATGTACATGCGAGTGAAAAATTCGTAAGCTAGCAATAATTCCTGGTTTATTGATCTAATACTGTATCACCAATTATCAACTAAAGCAACTTCAGTTTTCAGGGAAAGAAGGCGAGGGAAGCATTGAAACTTGATTCCCGAGGGACGAGTTATTATGTGGTTTGTTGTACAGCCCGCTAAAAGAACAAATATAAGGGAATGGTCAACTTTCGCGGGTAGCTTTCGCAACCCTCGGACGTCAAAAATTTTGCAATGCTGCCCGCATAGACTTTTGGCGGGAAACGGAGTTATCCTCAGATATCATGTGACCTCAAAGCAACCAGTGAGAGCGGGTGCTGTTGGTATCACATTGCGTATAAAAAGTCGGAAAATAAATTACACTCTGAGACAATTTTTACTTCTGTTTGTCACTTTGGACTCTGTATGTCAACTGACATCGTCCATTTTCCTCATCATAAACACAGTCAGATAAATTCTGTTCGCCAATATTCACTCGAAAAGTTCCATAAAGGGAGGTTTTTTGCGTCAAACATACCTGAAAAGCAAGAAAATTTATCCTTGAGTTGGTTGTTTGATATGTGTCTGAAGTTCGAACGAGGCTAGCCGTGCATAAACAAAGCTTTTTAAACAGTCTGCCGAGGCAAAATGGCCGTCGCGTGACAAAGGTCTATTACTGCTGTGAGATTTTTTAATACAGTTGACTCCCGATAACTCGAACCCTCGCTAACTCGAACCTCGCGTTAACTCGAACCAAAATCGATTTCCCCTGGATTTCCGTCATACATTTACTGTAATTTTACCAACGGAAACTCGAACCCTCGATAATTCGAAGTTGTTTTTGTTTCCCCTCAGATCATTTCCATAAAATTTTACCCTCGGTAACTCGAACTATGTTTTGAGCGCTTAAAAAGGCGGGAAAAAAAACAGTGTACAAGCGTCCGAAACATTGAATTTTGAATTTCCCATTCACATGTTGTACGCATATAGTTTACTAATGGAGGCTGATCTTGTTTGTCGCAAATCACTTGAAACAGCTTTACTAGTCTCAAAACAGTAAAACGCGTGCTCTATTTAGGCTATGTGTTGTTACGTTACGTTCTGATTTATAATCTAGAAGTAAAGAAGGAACGGGAAATAGAGGAATGAGGAACGGGGAACGGCGATACTTTAAAAGCGGTTATCTTTTAAAAACGCTAAACGAGGACGATTCTAAAAGCCATTACTTTTATTGATTTTTGTAAACCGAGTTATCTTTAACAGGCTGGTGTGAAATCACCCCTTGCACATTTCAAAGTTCTTAGCTGAATGATTTTGAAAGTTTGAGTTTGACAGAGGTAGTAGTCTGTTTCAGCCAATCAATTGAATGAACAAAAAACGCGCGCGCTGTCAAAATTTGTTGTTGTGTAGTCATGTTTTTCGTGTATATTATAACCTATACAAATTATTGTGCAATTATTATTATTAGCATTCTGTCTACACGATGCTATCGTAATTATATCGTTTGATTCAAATGCGCCACTTACGGACTCGTATTTTTTTGAAAACGGGGAAAAAAATCTCCGTTTTCAAAAATACCCGGATAAGTGTGGACAGAGCCTCAGAGAAAATTCATTTTGCTGTAATTCATGCTACAATATTATCATGAACATGATCAAGAGAACATACTGCCACGTTTTTGCAGTGATTTTTAGCATCCTCCTTGGGTAAGGTTTGAGCTGTCCATGAATAGCAAGGGTTCCACTGATAGGAATCTTTTGTCTTGCCAGAAATGTTCGCTGTAGACGCTTCTGCAAAGTTAAATCTGTTAAACAACGAAAGACATGAAGTCAGTTATTAGTCTGTACACACACAATGGCAGAATCTTTAAAAAGTTGCAAACAACCTCGCCTCGAGGCTTCTAGAGAAACGTTCTGGTGACAATTACATTTTTTGGTCTGAATTCGGGTCAGGATTTGAAGAACCGGGCGGCACATGTACACCCCCACCAAGAATTTCCAGGAGTACCCCTCCGGACCGGTACATATTGGGTAATGTTGCATGAAGAGAAGGGGGACCGGAAGCACGGACATTTACTCTACCTTATTTAGGGTTACAAAGCAGAATCCTCACAAAACAAGTGAAGGCTTGCATCAATAAATTCTACGGCTTCTTTGCCCTTCGAGTTGTTTTCCAAAGCACACATCGTAAATAAGTCTTTTTTTGCCTACAAAGACAGACTCACCCTTTCTTAAATCAGTGGCACCTAAGGACGGTCTCCTCCTAGGGGACTGTGCAATAATTACCTGGAGGGGGGGGGTCGGAAAATTAGAGGGGGGCATAGGAGAAAATGACAACAATAGAGAGGGTGGAAGTAAAATTTATTACATACGGGGGGGGCATTCCTTTTTCATTCCTTTTTGCAAACTGGAAAAGTAGTGGAAGAGATATTAGAGTTCAAATATAAATACTAAAATTAATACTACTGTTTTCCTATCTGTCATGCAGTAGGAAAGGAATGCCTCTGTTATATATGTTAACACAGTGCTACTTTATTTGTACTAAGATTTAATAAAACAGGAAACTTTAATTAAAAGTTGCAAAAGCGGCACTATAATCCTATTCAATGAAAAAGAAAGATGCCAGTGTTAGCACATATGGGATCATAATTTAGCAGAACATGAAAAACCCAACTGTTGAAATTTTAATAGCAATACAAATTTAAAGTGTGGTAAATAAAACACAGTATGATTAAATTGAGCTTCAAAAAAAAAAGCTCAATCAGACAGGAATTCCTGAGTTCTCACCTTAGTGCACCTTAGTGCACCTTAGTGCCAGAGATGCTGTAGAAGATAAGGAATCTCCCAATCAATTCATGCCGAGACAACACAAGCTCAGAGTCCAGTGATTCTGATGACTCTTCAAATGACTCANACAAGAGACGAGACAGGATAGACAAAAACTAGCAATCATGCGGGAGATAAACAAGAGAATGCACGGTGAGTGTTGTGGGCTGGATGAAGGAGGTAGTTGGAGGGGGGGTTGGGTGAGGGGGGGGGGGGGGGGGGGGGTTGAAATTAATTTTTGCTTAAAGAGAGGGGGGTATGACTTCACCCATTTCCCAGCCCTCCCCCCCCCCTCTCTCCAGGTAATTATTGCACAGTCCCTTAATACATTGAAAACAATTTTTTAGGCTATTCAGAGTACTTTTAGATCTCTAGAAATGAATTCTGAACAGCACTACAAAGTGTTTAGCTGCACAGTCATCCTAGGGCAACTTGAGTCTTCGAAATTACAACGGCTTCAGTATTATTCTCGAAAATTTTAGATGCATTTTAAAGCATTACGAAAGTAAGAATTTGATTCCTCTCTCCATCGCATTTTCGAATCCGATCATTTTAGTGTTCCTTTTTCTATGAAAAATAACTTAACCAGGGCAGGGAATTTGTTAGGTAAGCTTCAGAAGCTTTGAAACTTGTACATAAATGGATCGGTCATTTTTAGCCCTCCTCAAGCTACAGAAAATTCTAGCAATTTTTGCTTCTCCGAACAGATATTTTACAAAAAATGTCAAATGTCTAGGGTTGTTTATAAGGCTAGTTGTTGGGACTGTCAGGATTTCTACTACACAGACAAAACTAAACGAAGATTGCATGACAGGAAAACGGAGCACTTCAAATACGAGACGTTAGCCTGCATAGCTGGTGGGATTCTTTTGCCCCGGGTACTTTTTTGGCGGCGGAGCAGCCACACGAGGCGAGCGGTGAAGCTGCAAGGGAATACCCACTTGAATACCCACTCTTCTCACGGCCCCGCAGCCAAAACAATACAGCACTCACACGCTAATCCCGCCAGCTATGCATGCAGGCTATTATGAGTGGCAATCACTCCTCTACTATTGCTGACCATGTCATGTCATAAATGGGACCATTTTGAAATTTTGGCAAAGAGGACAGTCAGACTGACTGCTGATTAGGGATTTACAACCTCACCTAAATGAAAATGTCAGCGGTGAAGAACTTTACCTTTTCATTTGCATGCTTTTTCTTTTATATGCAAATTTTTCTACTATATGTTACCTTTTGTTTCTTTAATTAGTTGCTTGTCCTACATTTTTCAAATTTCTGTTGTTATTCAAAGTCTTTTTTCTCTGCACTGAAATGCGTTTATATTTCCTTATGTTTATCACCGCAGCTTGCTTTTTGTTTCTTCTTAAGCTAATTTTTTGCATTTTGACTCTTCCTTTTTCCTGGTTTCTGAGTTATTCAGACAGGATATTGGTCAGATTTCAACTTGGAAAGTTAAATTTTTATTAAAATATTTATTTATTTAAAAACTGACCGAGATGCGTAAAACGGTGGAAACCGCTGTGGATTAGGCTTTTGCACATTATGTTTTTGCCTCCCTACTAAAATGCTCCACCTTAATGCTCCATTTTTCCCACTAAAATGCTCGGTCTCCGCAAAAAAGTCACTAAAATGCTCGGATAATGCTTATTATACAAACGGTTTTTTTAATTAATTTCAAAGTTTACACTTACAAAAACGTGCAAATGCAAGTAACAACGACAACGTGTACAAGTTCATAAATACAGCCAAAAACACCAGCTGTATTAGGTTTTTTGTGAATTTTGAATTCTGTTCTTCATTTTGTTCAAAAAAGCTGGAGCTCATGGGGCATGGGCTCCTGAAAAAAGTTAATTTCTATTTTATTTCCTCGGAGAAATTAATTCTCCGGGGAAAATGCCACTAAAATGCTCGAATAAATGCTCAATGCTTTTGCCTCACTAAAATGCTCGAAAAAATGCTAGCATAATGTACAAAAGCCTACTGTGGATACGGATACGCGTCTAAGTCAGTTGCACACGTCATAAGGGAGTATGGTAATGTTGATTAATACAGGTTTACTGTGTACGGCAACGGTATTGTATCGGGAGAATTTAAGTCAGTGACTTAAAATTACGAGGCCAAAATTACGAGGCTTATGTATCTTACAGGGGGTGTCGACCGATTTATCGGCCCACGATAGCGACGTTTCGACGTTCTGCTGAACGAAATAGGCCACGGGCGACGACAAGCGGAAAACGACGCCAGTACCCTACCTTGGAACGCCACGTTTATCATTTCCCTTGGCTTTGCTGGTTTTGTGCTTGTAGAAACCTGTAGAAACGAGCTGCAGAAGAAACATACCTTGGTTGGCCTGGTGATTCTGACCCAAGACTCCATAGATTAATCTCCCCTTCATCGGTTGAACAGCGACATGCGTCTATCTTTTCGCATTTCTTCACCGTTTGAACGGGAGCTAAGTGAAAGAGAGCTGCAGCAATAGCGAAGGTAATGGCGCTCATAATTTAAGGCAATATCACATACTTTTGGCTCGTCACGCAATCCTCTCCAACGAAAGGAAAGCGGGTCGTGGGTAGTCTGACAAGGCGTCGGCGCCCGTTGGGCCATGGGGGCGGGATGAGAGGAAGGGGGTTTGAGGTGAGGGAGTGGGGCGAAAAGACGGGTAACATTCTTGTTTTCAGACTACCGAGTGGAAGGCTAGTTGTGGGGACCCAAAGCAAGAGATATGGCCAGGAAAAATACTGAAAATGTACAGGTGAGATCTACATTCCCACAGGCCTCCTCCTCTTCCCCTCTCCTCTCTTCCTCCTTATTTTTTCTCGCTCTCTGGCTGCGCGCCGGGATGGCTTGCTCGCATCTCGATATGTGTAACCTGTGTACAGTCATCCCTTCCGCTCAAACAAAATCTGTGAGAGTCTCTCTCCCCGATAAACATTTCAGACATGTCGTTCTTTATACAAAAACGAGTCGGCTTCATTGAACACAACGGCTTGAAATATTGACAGCTTGGACAGCCCGTTGACAGAATGTTTGTTTTCGTACAACATGATATTGTGTTCCGTGACAAAGACAAAGGGCAAAATTTTTGTCACACCTTCAAGTTCCAGTACACGTGGCTTCATCCAAAATAATTCACGATAACAGCCAAGGTAAAATGGTCTCTCCAATTTTGTGAAAATACATTAAGTGCACCTTCCTTTTCTTAGGATATATTTATTCAGATTTCAGTTCGCTTGCAGGTCGCGCTCAATGTTTTACACTTTTTTTCTTTGTGTTCTGTCGCATATCATCATAATCTGCATGTGTGTTATACAATACCTGAAATCTGTAATAATAAGCCGTGGACTGGACTGTGGATTTTTCAATAACCTGGATTGGAGTTTTGTGTTAAAAGGGTCCCCGAGACAGTGTTTTCTTTTGCTACGAGATCAATAATAATTGATTTATCTTTCAATTCGTACGCTCTACTGGGAGAGAAAGTATGATTTCTCTAATTTTAGAACGTCCTGAAATATCGATTATGAGAGTCCGTGATCCAAGGTTTATAATTTTGCGAGTAAGATGCTGTGGGTGTGATTTGGTATAGAATTACTGCGTTTTTCCAGGCGTAATATTCACGTTTTAGTCATTCGTCCCCGAAAATGAATGCCGGCGTCTTCGCTCTTATCCTTGCTCTTTTTGCTTTAGCTCCCGTTCAAGGAGTAAAGAAATGCGAAAAGATCGATACCTGTCGTTGTTTAACCGATGAAGGAGAAATAAGCCTCTGGAGTCTTGCAGGACAGACGCCGCCGAATCGTGCAAGGTAAACCATCCCATTTACTGAAAATAAGGCTGTAAAATGTGATGTGTTAATAACTTTATTTCACTACCAGTAAGGCGTAATTCGGATACGAAATTAGAAAATTACAACGAGACTGGCTTTGTTTAGATCTAAGAATTTTAAGAAACACTCCCACAGCTAGATATTATAACAATAATTATTGGATGTTCTTCGACCGTTGACCGTAGTTTGGCTCACATTTTGTTTGCACCACAAGGTTTCAGGAGCGGAACAGTCACATTTTTTACGTTTCTTTCGTCGTGAAATCATAGCTTTATTCTCATCGTTTCGCTGCGCTTATTTGTGGAGCGAAGAAAGGGGCATGACTGATCCTTCCGTGATCAACGGTCGAATGTACACCGCATGTAACCTCTGATCTCTTTGCTCTTTGGTTTAGCTATCCGAGAGAAACCTGGGAAGTAAAAATGAGAGCGTGGTGTGGGTTTTTTACTTTTACTTAGTAAATATCGCGCCACAAAATAATCAAAACAATATCTTAGTTTAGCGTAGAGTATCATTTCTTTTTCACACGTGCAATGTTAATCTTCACTCTTCAGCTATTCGAGAGAAAGCTGGCTTTCTGGGAAAATATCATCACTTCTTCCCGCGAATTCACAGCGTAAGCCCTGAACACGCTAGTCTCGCGCGGCGCGTAGAAAACACTGAAGGAATTTTTAAAACGCTCTTCATAATTTCGCTAGTTAATCCGGCCTATCCGTTAATCCTTTAAATACCTGACTTGGACGACTGATTAAAATGTGTATTGTAGTATTTATTTCCAAGAGATCACTCGAAGCAATCGGATGAATTTCGGGCTAACTTCCGATCCGCTGTTTTTAAAATTCAACTAAGCACATTGGCCGATAGGATATATATTGTAGCAAGGTAAAGTTTTATAAGGGAATTTTTTAATTCACAGCGCATCCCTATTACCGTTCAATATTCACAAAGTCGAAAGCTAGTCCTAAAGAAGGCCTTATAAATATTTATCTATTCTATTGGCCGCTTTTTAGCAACCTGTGGCTAGAATGCCCGACACTTATTTGCATCTCATTTTCAGTATTCGCAAACTTCTTTCTACAAAACTATGAAGAGGACTGAAGAACGTCTTTTAATAAAAGTTTTATCTAGATCATTGTAAGCCAGGATTCAATGGAGTTTCTATTAAGAATTACTCCTTGAAGAGTCGACTTTTCTTGACATCCGTTGCCGTTACGTTGTTTTATTATCATGTCCAGATAAACGTATTCCTCCTCTATTCTTCTTTTGTCTGCGTCCAACAAAGTACTAGCTCGTAGCGTGGCTTTGATAGATCACCTGTCCCATTGTTCCGTTAGCTTTATGTTAATAAGAGCGCGAATAGTAAATACGACGAAACTGCGGCCTTCTTTCTGCATTAGGCAATGTCCACATAGCCTGCGGACACAGGCGTATTTCCGGTCGTCGCTTCTTTCCACCCATGCCAAAAAGCTAATCCGGACATTTTGAAACCGCATATTTTTAATCCGGCGCGTAGGTGTGGATGGGGCTAGACTACGAGAGTCCCTCATTTTTCCTCAGGGATAGTAGTGCGAGCGGAACGCGAGCGCGCGTGAAAATCATCCCACGCGAGAAAAGGCGACACGATGGGGCCTTAAAGTACCCTGGAGTAACCTAACCACCAGAGATCAGGCTCTGTTTTCGTTTCGCTTTGAAAATAACATTCCGGCGGGCAAGGCGAAACGAAAATCGGTTTTAGCGGTAGAGAGAATGTATGAGAACCGCTAAAATTGGGCCTGATCTCAGGTTAACTCTGGAGAGCGGTTTAAACATGTTAAAAAGACGCAGTTTTGGTGATTCGGGTGGACGAAAGTCCGATTCGTGTAAAAAAATGTGTGGTTTCAAAAATATCCGGATTCGTGTAGAGGGGGGCGTTAGACTTGAAGGCTTATAGATCACGGACAGGGTAAAGAGGGTTAAACAGCGTCATTTCTATTATTACCAGCTGTTTTCTCCGAAGAAGACGACAGACACAACTGGCGAGAGGTAGCCTCTCACAGACGTTTTTCGTTTTTCTATTTTCTATTTTCTATTTCTCTTTTTCCAATTTCCCTTCCCCTACCTCCTTGCGCTTTTGTTCAATAAATCCCTTGTTATCAAGCTAGCTCCCAGGGTCCTCTCGAGTAGGAGAGAACCCTGGGAAACGAGGTTGAGTCTCGAGGTTGTGACAATTTAACATCGACCCAGGGGAGGTTTTGTGTCCAGCGGTTTTAGTGAAAACAAGGGTTTGTAGGGGTTGCTCAGTGTCGCGGGCTCACAAAACCTCCCTTAGGTGAATCTTATTGCCGAGTCTCGAAGACTAGAAGGTCGGGAACACCTTAGGCGAGAGACAGTCTCGTTGCATGCAACCATTAATTTTTTAAAATCTCTACTGATTTAACCAACAGATTTAACATTTCAAGTTCCTCCTCTTCCTCGACTTTCTACCAGTGGAACCCCTGTAGTGCGTGGACAGCTCAGGGCCACCCCTGTGAAGATGCCGCGGTAAGTAGAACTTTGTCCTCGCATTGGGCGTGAAAAAAGAGCCCAAGCCACCACCACCACGCGACGGCGGTGGAAACTTCATTTAAAAAGTGAATTCGCGCTGTTTTAAATTTCATCGCTATATTACGCCTCGTTCAATTTGTCAAATGTCAGCGAATTTTTCAGGAGTTGAATTCTTAAGGACCACATCGATAGCTCGCAGACGCCCCCTCCCCTCAAAAAACGAAAAAAAAATCGGGAAGAGAGGGAGGGAGAGAGAGAGAGAGTCTCTCTCCCCTATTTGTTTTAGGGGATGGGGCGTCTGTACACAGGCTACACATCAAAGGTCAGGAAAAGAACAAAAACATCTTCCCTTCACGTCCTCTACAAAACGTGAAGTGTCGTTGTCGTGCAGTGACGGAAAAAAATGTACCAACAAGTGTGATGCACAAAGTTTTTGTTTCACGTTTCCGTTGCCGTTGTCGTCTCTGTCGCGGTCGTCGTTCGTTAAAGCTCCCTTAAACCAGAGTAAAAATAATACCTGTTCTTTAATAAATACGATTGTCTTCTATGAAAAGGAAATTCTACTCCGGATCAGAACCTATCGATATATGTATATTTGTATTAATCATATTATACAGAGATTTCTTACAGGATACTCCCATAGGAATAAATGAATGGACAACCTTATTAATGTATCAATCTTCTTACCTAAATTAATTAATAGTAAAACCTTTATCAAGGGGACATCCATAGATTCTCGGCACCAGTGTAGAGTTTTTTTGTTTACGCACGTGTCTTCGAAATTTTTCCCTTTAACTTATAAAACAGGCGCCTGTTGCAAGAGCCGGGCCAATTCATCGTATGACTCAGTGACCAAATCAGTGTTCTACCTACACAGGTTTGTCAAGTCACCCGGCCAGCTAATTCCCGGCAGAGTTCTTCCGTGAGCATAGGAGAAAGAGAAATGTCGGACTGTGTGCTTGATGAGCAGCGTGGGCAATGTCAGTTGACGTATGGAGTGAAAGGAAGCAATGAAATGTAAATAAGTGATATTTGATTTCTCCTGGATTTATCATTATTCTAACCTTCGAACAAATTCCCTAGGGAGCCTTAGGAGCGGGAGAGAAAAGGTAGAGTTTTAGCTACTCCTGGGAATTCTTAGGGGGAATGTACCGCCCGGTTTTCCAAATCCTAACCCTATTTCAGATCAAAAAGGTCATTTTTTACACCCT